GGGGGGGGCGAGGGGGTTACCTAACTTTAATGCCTATTAGTTTTGACCTCTTGTAAGTAAATTCCCCAAAGTCAAGATTCTTACAGACAACAGTAAGGAGCGTGGAGGCCACACAAAATCAGAGCCGTTGGATGCAGGTAAATGCATCATCTTTAACGGTAGATTGGTGGTGTGTTTATGTAACGCAAGTAAGGTTTGTCTTGAGATTTGATATCTTCTGCGAATATTTTATGATTTTTTTAAAATAAAATAATTAAAGTCAGAATATGTTAAATAAAATTACAACTTATTTCAACAACGATTTTATTTTTATAAATTCAAACATCAAGGAATTGTTTGTTTATCTCTTAATAGTTTCATTAATAAACAATCTTTGAATTGTTAATAGGTGAATTTTGTTTTGCAAAAAAACATGTCTCTTAATGGTTTTAAAACCCTCTGAATGATTTTGTATCATAAATCTCTCTTAACCATTAAGAACCATAATTTTATTGTATACAATTATCAAATAATTATATTTTATTTTACACTATATCATGAGAGTCTCTTAATCATTCTGACTACTTAATCATTCTACACCAAACCATTAAGCAATTATCAAACAGCCCATAATTATATCGTTATAAATTTATTATTTTTGTATATTCTAAAATTAAATTTCATAAAAATTTATGATCTAGTTTATCCGGCTAACTTATCAGTAATCAATTATTTTTTATCATCAACTGATTTATTAGTTAGCTTTTTAAACATGTTCTTTTTCAGATTTTAATATTAATTATATTATTAAAATATTATATAAATTAATATATATACATTTCTAAAAGAACTTTATAAGAATGGATATATGTATCCAACCCCATTGATGGTAATAATTAAAAAAAAATATTTCTCTATTAAATTTTAGATATTTCAACAAATTTAGAGATTTTAAGTTTTTTTTTTTCTCTATATTTAGATAACATTTTCCAACAATTTTTTAAATGTTATATTTTAAAAAGACTGTCTAAAAACTATTTAATAGTTGAAAAAGTAACCGATAACCGATAAGTTATGAAAATTAGGTGAAAAAGCTAATATATGTAAGAATAACTAAAAACAAGATGAAAAAAAAAAACTATTAAATTCAAACATCATATAATATAATAAAATATATCACTAAATTAAATATGTTATTTAAACAATTTATTGATTTTCTATTTATAAAATAAAAATATTTAATAATTTTTATATGACTTACGAAAATATTTTATTTGATTTCTTTCTACTAAATATATTCAATAAAGGTAATAATAACAAAAAAATGTAATAATAGTTAATTTGACTAAAAGTAATTTAAAATAATCTATACTATATTATAAAGCATATGATAAAAACTATTAAAAATAATTTTTTATGCATGAATTACTGTTTATTGATGCATATTACTTAAAATTTAAGATTACAAGTAATTTTGCGTAAATACAACTTATTAAAGCTCAATTTTTAAATTCGTGTAACTAACTGCTGATAAACATAATCAAATACATGATAAACATTCATTTTAAATATTATAAATCTAAAATATAATTAAGATAATTATTGAGTTCTAACAGAATGTTTAAGTATTTTCTTTATAAAAAGTTATCTATACTATATTATAAAACATTTGAAAAAAACTCTTAAAAATCATTTTTTATGCATGAAGTACTGTTTATTGATGCATATTACTTAAAATTTCAAGATTTAAAGTAAATTGTGCATAAGTGCAACTTATTAAAGCTACATGTTAGAATTCGTGTAACTAACTGCGCATAAACATAATCAAATAGATGATAAACATCTCATTTTTTAAAATATAAAAAATTTAAAATATATTTAGGATAATTATTGACTTTTAACAAAATAATTAGTTATTATCTTCATAAAAAATTATATTATTAAACCAAATATAAATTAATTTATTTTTAAATTTCAATTAAATTATAATAAAAATTTGAATCAAAGATATTACATAAAAACGAGAACTTTTAAATAGTTTTTAATACTAATATCACTTATTTTTTTCAAAATTTTATGATATATTCATATTTATATTTCATTCAAAAATAAAACATTTTCTTTTTCTCAGAAACACATAGCATCATAATATTGATAGACCCAAAATATAAAACGAAACATTAAAATCAAGATGTGTCTCGCTGTATTGTGCGAGTACCCTTCTAGTATTATTAAACCAAAAATAAATTACTTTGTTATTAAATCTAGATTAAATTATAATAAAAAAACAAATTAAAGAAATTACACCCAAAAAACAAGAACTATGAAATAGTTAATTTGATACCATTATTGATTTTTTTTATAATTCTTTATGTTATCTTCAAATTTATATTTTAATTCAAAAATAAAAACATTATCGTCTTCTCAAAACCACATAAAATCGTATTATATCGATAGAGACAAAGAATAAAAACTAAACATTAAAATCAAGATTTATATCGTTGTATTACGTGAGTACCCTTCTAGTTAATAATAAAACAACATTAATAAAACTTAACAAGATAACATGGTTTAATAATAATAATTATTCATAAAATATTTATAAATAGTCATAAATAAAATATGATTTATGACAACTAATAATTACTTTTTAATATTAATATTTATAAATTAATAACTAAACAATAGTTAATAAGATAAATTAATGCTGAAAAAAATTATTTAATTAATATTTGGTCAAATATTAAGTGTATAATTGAAAGAGCTATAAAAAAAACTTCTAAAGTTTATTAAAACGTTACCCGAAATATCGTTTCAAACTAGTTTTTGCTCATCAAATGTGGCTTTTATCAAATATCCACTTTAATATAATCTTTGAAGACGTTCTAATGACTATGATTGTAATATATTCAGTCATTGTATTGCGCTTATGTCAATTATATTTATAAAGGTAAAAATAATTTATTATTTTGATTGATATTACTAAAACATAGTTTACATAATATTTTTTATTTCTCAAAAATGTCACACTTGATTTCACATATTAATTAATAAAAATATTTAATTAGTAATTAAATTTATAAAATGGTTTTTGATTATGAACAAATAAGGAGGATTTGTGTATTAAAATCAAATTCATTAATATAAAAATATTTAATTAGATTGTGCTTAAGTATAACTTATTGATACATATTTAATTAATAAAAAATATTTAAGTACTGTTTATTGATGCATATTACTTAAAATTTAAAATTACAAGTAGATTGTGCTTAAGTACAATTTATTAAAGTTACATCTTTGAATTCGTGTAAGTAACTGCAAATAAACATAATGAAATACAAGATAAACATCTTATTTTAAAAAAAATGTAAAATATAATTAGGATAATCATTAAGTTCTAACAAAATACTTAATTATTATCTTTATAAAAAATTATATTATTGAACTTAAATAAATTATTTTAAATTAAATTATAATAAAAAAATCGAATTAAAGACATTGCACAAAACAAGAACTTTTAAATAGTTAATTCAATACTAATATCTATATATATTTTTTTCAATTTTTTATGATATTTCAAATTTTATTAAAAAAAATATTATCGCTTTCTTAAAGCCACATAAAACCGTATTATATCAACATAAATAAATAATAAAACGAGATATTGAAATTGAGATATGTCCTGATGCATTACATGAGCATCATTCTAATTATTATAAAACATTTGACAAAAACTCTTAAAAACCATTTTTATACATTAATGACTGTTAATTAATGTATATTACTTATAATTCAAGATTACTAGTAAGTTGTATATAAATACAACTTATTAAAACTTTATTTTTTAATTCGTGTAACTAATTATAGATAAATGTAATCACAATTAAAATAAATATCCCAATTTTAAATATAAAAACTCTAAAATACAATGATTATTTAATAGAATACTTAATTATTATCCTTGTAAAAAATTATATTATTAAACAAAAAATAAATTACTTCATTATTAAAGCTTAATTAAATTATAATAAAAATTAAATTAAAGAACTAGAACTTTTATATTTTTTTTCAAATTCTTATGATATCTTCAAATTTATATCTTATTTAAAAATAAAAACATTATCGATTTCTCAAAACCACATAAAATCGTATTATAACATTCACAAAGAAAAAGAATAAAACAAAACATTAAAATCGAGATATATCTCGCTGCATTGCACGAGTACTCTTCTAGTTCCTAATAAAGCGTTTGACAAAAAACTTTTAAAAATCATTTTTCATGCACGAAGTACTGTTTATTAATACAAATTACTTAAAATTCAAGATTATAAGTAAATTGTGCGTAAGTACAACTTATTAAAACTCCATGTTTGAATTTGTTTAACTAACTACAAATAAATATAATCAAATACAGGATAAACATCTAATTTTAAATATAAAAAATTTAAAATATAATTAAGATAATCATAGTCCTAACAGAATACTTAATTATTATCTTTATAAAAAATTATATTATTAAACCTAAATTAAATTATAACAAAAATTTGAATTAAAGAAATTACACAAAACAAGATATTTTAGATAGTTAATTTGATACTAATATCGATACAGTTTTTTCAAATATTTATGATATTTTATTCAAAAATAAAAATATTATCGTTTTCGACATAAATAAAGAATAAAACTAAACGTTGAAATCGGCACGTGTCTTGATACATTGCACAAGTTTCCTTCTGGTAACTCCTAAAGCATACTT